CGCCCGCGGCTGGGTCTCCGCCGGGGCCTCGGCATGGAGGAGCCGCTGTCCAGCAGCCGGGGGCCCGGCCCCGCGGAATTCCAGCTCCTGCTCCAGCGCGGCGGCTCGGGAGAAGCGGTCTGCCTGCTGCCGGGCTCCTCCGCGGGGCCTCGGGAGCTCCTCGCGCCTCCGAACCCCGCCGTCCCAGCAGGCGCCACCTCCCGGGGGCCGCCCCTTGTCACCACCCCTTGTCACCACCGGGAAGTCGAACTTAAGAACCCGCGGCAACTGCAGGCTGAGCGCGCGCGCTCCTTCACGCACAGCGCCTGCGCGGGTCACGTGGCGGCGCGAATGTGGTCCTTCGCCAAGGCCTCGCCGCAAACCGGATGTTGACGTGGTTGCCTAGGAGACCGGACCTCGCTCTCAAGCCTGCCGCACATTTGGCTGAGCCCCCAGAGGCCCGCGGGCTAGCGCCCCCTGGCGGAGCGAGCTGGAGCTGCGGGCTGGGAACCGGGATCGGCAGATACGGCGCAGAGAGCCCTCCGCACGAAATGCGGCCCCAGGACGGCAAGGAATGTCTTCCTTCGCGTCCGCCCCGGGGCATCCGGGCCGCAGAGGGAGTCGACGGCCCGTCCTTTCAACAGCTTTCTAAAATGCCCCGCGCTTTTGAGATCTGTTGCCTATCGATCTGTCGTTTATCTGACACTTAACATTTGTTGACACTCACATGTAAGCGTTCACGTGTATGATCTCATTTATCCCTCATAACACTAAATTCCATGCTACCCTCGTTTTGTAGACAGGAGGTTTAAGTCATAGAGAGTTAAGCAGCAGCTTGCCCAAGGTCAGGCAGCAAATCAGTGGCTGTGCACGAACAGTGTGACAGTAGCTCCTGGAAGAAATCTGGAAGCGAAGTTGCGGTTTCCAGCACACTCTCTCCCCAACCCTGTAAATAAGTCCGCTGTCGAAGGAAGTGGATGGAGCAGGGCATCGGCTTGCAGAAACCAGGAGTAAAGTTATGCCAGCAGAGAAGGAAAGGCCTTTATCGGACTCCAGCTTTTTGTGCCCTTTTGCTCTGACCAGACAGACCACCGCCTCAAAATGTGTGAACATTTCTTTTTTTTAATTTTATTTTTGTTTAAAATATTACAGATGTCCCTTTTTCTCCCCGTCCCATCCCCCTCCCCAGTCCCTCTCCCCACCATCGTCCGTGTCCTTGGGCTGTGCATATATGCATATAAATTCTTTGGTTACTCTCTCCCCCTCCACCCACCCGCCCCCCTCCATCCCTCTAACATTTGTCAGTCTGATCCATGCTTTCATGCTGATCCATGTCATTGAATCTATTCTGTTCATCTGTTTGTTAAGTTCTTTAGATTCCACATAAGAGCGAGATCATGTGATGTTTTTCTTTCTCTGCCGGCCTTATTTCACTTAGCATAATATTCTCCAGGTCCATCCATACTGTCCCAAAGGGTACAATATTCTTTTTTACAGCTGTGTAGTACTCCATGGTGTGAATGCCCCACAGCTTTTTTATCCACTCATCTCCTGATGGGCACTTGGCCTGTTTCCAGATCTTAGCTATTGTAAACTGTGCTGCTATGAACATCGGGGTACATATATCCTTCCTGATGAATGTTTCAGGATTCTTAGGATACATTCCTAGGAGTGGAATCACTTGGTCAAAAGGAAGCTCCATTTTTAATTTTTTGAGGAACCTCCATACTGTTTTCCATAGTGGCTGCACCAGTCTGCATTCCCACCAGCAGTGTACTAGGGTGCCCTTTCCCCACATCCCCTCCAGTACATGTCATTTGTTGATTTGTTGATGGAGCCATTCTGACAGGTGTGAAGTGATACCTCATTGTGGTTTTAATTTGCATCTCTCTGATGATTAGCGACGTTGAGCATTTTCTCATGTGTCTCTTGGCCATCTGTATGTCCTCTTTGGAGAAGTGTCTATTCAGGTCCTTTGCCCATTTCTTAATTGGGTTGTTTGTCTTCCTCTTGCTGAGTACTATGAGTTCTTTGTACACTTTGGAAATTAGCCCCTTATCAGATACATCCTTGGCAAATATGTTTTCCCAGACCGTGGGGTTCCTTTGTATTTTGAGGCTGTTTTCTTTTGCTGTGCAGAAGCTTTTTAGTTTGATGTAGTCCCATATGTTTATTTTTTCTTTTGTTTCTCTTGCCCTAGGAGATGTATCAGTGAAAAGTCCACTACGTGGGATGTCTGTGACTTTACTGCCTATGTTTTCTTCCAGGATTTTTATGGTTTCGTGACTTACATTTAAGTCTTTTATCCATTTTGAGTTTATTTTTGTGTATGGTGAAAGTTGGTGGTCTAGTTTCATTCTTTTGCATGTATCTGTCCAATTTTCCCAGCACCACTTATTGAAGAGACTGTCTTTACTCCATTGGATACTCTTGCCTCCTTTGTCAAATATTAACTGACCATAATGGCGTGGGTCTATTTCTGGGGTCTCTGTTCTGTTCCATTGATCTATATGCCTGTTGTTGTACCAATACCAGGCCGTTTTGATTACAGTGGCTTTGTAATACAGTTTGAAGTCTGGTAATGTGATCCCTCCCACTCCGTTCTTTTTTCTCAAGATGGCTGCAGCTATTCGGGGTCTTTTTTGGTTCCATATAAATTTTTGAAATGTTTGTTCTAGGTCTGTGAAATATGCTGTTGGTATTTTAATAGGAATTGCATTGAATTTATAAATTGCTTTGGGTAGTATGGACATTTTAATGATATTAATTCTTCCAATCCATGAGCATGGTATATTCTTCCACT